CTGCATGGAGGCAGGCAATGCCAAATGACCTCTGAACGTCTCTTGCCTTGAAAACCCTACGGGGTCACCACAAGTCTGCTTGGGACGACAGTTCCTTCTTGTATTACAAATACCGGTTCCCAGGTGATTGGCAGAGAGTGCGATATAAAAGTCCTGCCTCTGGTAAATGCTCCTTGGAGAGCCAGTTTGGTGTCGTGGTTAGGAGCGCAGGCTCCAGTCTGGGAGAATCAGGTTTGATTCCCCCACTTTTCCACATGCAGCTGCTGGTGAGACCTTGGGTCAGTGACAAGTTCTCTCAGAGCTGTTCTCTCACAGGCAGTCCTCAAAAGAGCTCTCTCAGCCCCACCCAGCTCACAGGGTGTCTGTTGTGGGGAGGGGCAGGGAAAGGAAATTCTACTGAGACTCCTTCGGGTAGTGAAGGGCGGGGTATAAATCCAATCTCTCCTTCTTCTTCCCTGTTGAGCGTTCTACAGCTGCCTCCGTTCTCTTCCATCCCACGATTCCTTTACCTGTCATTGCCATTCAAGTGGGCGTCTGGTTGCTTACAAAGGTGTGATTTACTGAGTGGCAGGCACGCCCCCGAGATGCTGCCAAAAGAAATTACGGAGAATGGCAGAGAGACGTGACCTGCTATTAAGAACAAACAAACAAACAAACAACAAAGCATGCCAACGATTTAAAAGGGGGGACCGGTGAGGACTTGTGTCTGAAAGCTGTGTGGAGATTGTCAATAAATCCTTGCTTCTCATACTGTGATTTACTGTGACAGAGGAGGGGACCAGAGATTGTAGAGGCATCCCAGGTGATTAATAGCCGAACGTGATAACCCCAGCACAAGCCAGTAGCCACCACATGGCTCACGGTAATCAATCCAGCCAACAGACCCAAGAGACCCAAAAGCACAGGCGGAAGCTTTCCTGAGATACCTCCGCCTACAGGCACGGGCAGGGGTCATTTCGTAGAAAAAGAGGTGCAGGAGCTAATGAGTTATGCAGAGGAGGGAGAGCTTGTACCTGAATAAAATTTGGTCTTAAAGGTGCCACTGGACTGTTTTGGGCCAGGGGGGGGGCTCTGCAACTTACCTGGCTGCTTCTTGCTCTGACTGAGGGCTGCTGGGAGCAGGGGGTGGGGCTTGTTACATGTGCCCATCCCCTGGGCTCCTTACTGCCAGAGCTCCACTCCTGTGCGCTCCCGCAGGAAATGACCCCTGGGGAAGAGGAAATTACATTTTTGGGGCCGTGGCGCGTCTCTCGCCTAATGCTCTGATCCTAATTTCCATTCAATTCAAAACCCACTCCACTATTCCATCAAATACACTTGTAGTGCAAGATTGCTTCCCAGACGTTTAAAGGGGCAGTTATCTAAGCATGCTTCTGTTGGGACTGGACATTCAATGTTTTGATAGCCAGTGCACAGCTTTCTTTGAAACTGCTGAGATCTGGATTTGCTAGGCTGAAAGTTATCATAAAACTCTGACCGCAGGTCAGGGGCTGAAACTTGATGTGCTGGTGGGTGATCCACGTATGGATCTTTTCCGTGTATTTAAAGCAGTGATGGCCACTGGGAGGTAAACGGTTCCTCCCTGTGCTGAAGCTCAGCCTCACGGAAGCTGCTGTTGGCCACCCCAGGAAGCAACATGCAGATATGGTACCTCTCTCTTTCTCCCTGTTGGCAAAATAGCAGCTTAGCAGGTGGGTTCTGTTGGGAAAACGGCACAGAGGAAAGTGGGTTGGGGAAGATCTTCCCATTGGTTCCCCTCTGCAGGGGGTAAGGGCGCTGTGGCTTGCTAACATTGAAAAAAAACAACAACTGGAGATCCCTACGTCTAGCCTTATTCCACAATCAGTCAATCCGTCAAGTCCAAGTTCAACTGTAAACGTGCATTGCAGGGAGGGAGATGAATCCACCCTTCACTGCCAGTTTGATGGAGTGGTTAAGAGCATGGACTCTAATCTGGGAGAACCGGGTTTGATTCCTCCACATGCAGCTGCTGGTGTGACCTTGGGTCAGTCACAAGTTCTCAGAGCTGTTCTCTCAAGAGCACTCCTTGAAAGAGCTCTCTCAGCCCCACCTCCCTCACGGGGTGTCTTTTGTGGGGAGGGGAAGGGAAGGAGACTGTAAGCAGCTCTGAGACTCCGAGTGAAGGGCGGGGTATAAATCCAATCTCCTCCTCCTCTTCTTCTTCTTCTTCGACTGCCTTGATTATGAGCACTACTGGGTGATCTTGTGTATGCACTCAATGTGCTTCATACAAGTTGGAGCCTTTAGCTTTGGTTTCAGCCATCTCTGGTTCAATGTTTCGAGATAGCAATGACCAGGGCTTTTTTTTGTAGAAAAAGCCCAGCAGGAACTCATTAGCATATTAGGCCACACCCATGACAGCACAGCTCATTCGCATATTAGGCCACACACCCGTGTTACCAGAAGTGTGGTCATCTAGCCACACCCACCTTTTGCTTCTTATTCTGTTTACCTTGTTTGTGGTCAAAACCCAGGGCCTTTTTTGGAGCCGGAACCCCTAATGTAGCCAATCCTAATAAGTTCCTGCCACTGGGTGTGGCCTACTATGGTGTGGCCTATTATGCTAATGAGTTCCTGCTGGGTGTGGACAACTTGGGAGTCAGCCGGAACTCCGTTCCTGTGCGTTCCTGCCCAAAAATAGCCCTGGTAATGCCCAAGACAACTTCTCTTTAGAGATCTTTAACCCTGAACAGATGGGCTTAAGACGTCTTTCTCCCAGTCAACGTTAACAGGAAAAGGGATAGATGGGACCACTGATGTATATCAGTTTAAAATGGCTCCTTAGAAGTTAAGTCTGCCATGTTAACATTTGTTGCCCTTTCTGTTGGCAGGCCTGGGAATGGAGAATATAGGTGGAATCTTTGTGGTTCTGATATGTGGTTTAATCGTAGCGATTTTTATGGCAATGCTGGAGTTCTTGTGGAGCCTTCGACATTCTGAACACTCCGAGGTAAGAGCCTGTGATGGGAAGGGCAAATTCTAATTTTTCTTGGTTAATTTTATTATTTGTCTTTGGTTATTCTTCGGTCGGGGCCGTGGTGGCTCAGAGGTTAAGGTTAGTGAAAAGGAGGGCCAATATTAAAACCTTCCCATAAAAGATCTTTTAATATTGGCCCTCCTTTTCACTAACCTTTGCTTGGTTTGGGGGCTCAGAGGTTAAGCCACTGAGCTGCAGATCCGAAGGTCTGTAGTTCGGCAGTTCGAGACCCTAGTGCTGTGTGCTGTATTCTCTGGTCCCAGCTCCTGCCGACCTAGTAGTTCGAAAGCAAGAAACTGCAGTTAGATAAATAGGTACCACTTCGGTGGGAAGGTAACAGCGTTCCATGCGCGTTGGCATTTAGTCATGCCGGCCACATGACCACGGAAGATTCTTCGGACAGCACTGGCTGTTCGGCTTGGAAATGCAGATGAGCACCACCCCCTAGAGTTGGATTCGACTAGCTTTCGAGCAAGGGAAACCTTTACCTTGACTATTCTTCAGTCATTTTGAGTCCCGGTTGTTTACGGACTATTTCTTTCCTCAGTGTAGTGAAGACTGGTTTTATATTTCTATGTTAAACTACTGCTGCTGCTGCTACTTATCATCATCATCTCTTGGGTTAGATATAGTTTTACGGATTGGCGTAAACTGCCCTAGGGATCCTTCGGGATGGGAGGATGGGATTTGCATTCCTGGTAAATAATTATTAAGTCAAGCATGACCCAAAAGCAGCAGGCACCAGAGTGAAAGTTTGCTGGTGGATTCCCAGTGTAGTTAAAATCCTGGGTAAAACTGAATGCTATCAATGGTGCCTAAAAAGAAAATGTGAAATAGTAGAATGCAGACTATATGACTGTTCTGGGTACAGGCAGAAACACTTTTTATCACTTGGGTATTGCAAGTGAAAATGGGAGACACTAACATTTTCTCTAATTTTTAAGGCCCAATTTTCACACTGCTATATGGAAAACACTTTAGGAGAGCCAGTTTAGGAGAGCCAGTTCGATGTAGTGGTTAGGAGACGACCCAATCACATTCTAGCAAGCTGCAAGCGGGAACGTTTGTGATTGGTCCTTATGTGCTCAACCTGATAGGTTGCTATGTGTATAGTGGGAGTGGCTATGTTAGCCGGGAATGTTTAAATACCGGGCAGTTTCAATGGGCAAGCTGTTCGGGCTATCAGGTGTTGTACCGTGTCGAAGAAGTGAACAAAGAGCTGAATAAACTTGAGTCTTTGCTGAAATCACTCTCCGACTCATTGTATAAATCCAATCTCCTCCTCCTCCTTCTCTTCTTTTGTATATGAATTAAAGCTGCATGTACATTGTTACATGTGTCATGCTCAAACCATAGAAATTGCTTCCTGTCCCTATGCTTGGAAAGCATTACTGGCTGTGCCTTCCCAATGTAGAGAATTGCATAATGTGAACTGGTCACAACTCTCACAATTGAGGATGTGCAGAAAACTGCGCTACCAGCTTATGACCAAGATGGCTGCCTAACTGTTGCTTTCTGCCCTCCCCGTTAAATCAAACGTTTGATTTAACTGCATTTCCCGATATTTTGTCTGCCGGTTTTTTGCTCTCAATTTCTCATTCAAGCAAAGCCTTAAAGATACACTTTGCTGATTCCCCAAAGTGTGTGTGTAGATGTGTAGAGTGGGGAGGAAGAGACCACTGCAATTTCTCAAGCAAGAGTTCCGGGTATGGAACAGTAGTGAGCACTTTAGCTAGAATAGTTTTGCCACATACATTTACCCTCTGGACATCTTCAGAGGGTATTTAACCATATCTGTGGCATGAGGCTTGAAACAGCTTGTTTTAAATTTCCTGTCAAATATTTCTCTAATCATTCTGAATTGCCCATATTAACTTGTAGCCTCAAACTTGCTGATTTTTCACGACTTCTTACGGCTCTTGTTGAAATGAAGCTACTAGTGTTTCATCTGTGAATGAAGAGTGATATTTGCAATTTGACTGTTCTCATGCATTTTCCAGTCAATACTATAATAAACTATTTTATGATTAACACAACAGTACAAGCAAAAGGGTCGGCAGAAATAGCAAACAGAAAAAAGGACATAAAGTATGTATTTATTTGTTTATTTATTTATTATATTTATACCCCTCCCTCCCATTCATGGCCGGCTCAGGGCGGCTTACAACCACATAAAAAATACAATGCATAAAATAACAGTCTTAAAACCTTAACAATAACAATATTAAAAGGTGCTAACAATAATAATCCAATATCAATTTAACATTACGTCTAAGACGGCACTCAACTTCCATGCCATCCTAATGGTCAGTCCCGATCTAACGTTGTATGGGTGGCTCAGGCTGCTTTAAGATTTTAAGGGCAGGGCATTCTCCCCCAGGGCGGCTCCTAATTGAACGCCTGGCGGAAGAGCTCCATCTTGCAGGCCCTGCGGAACTGCATAAGGTCCCGTAGGGCCCTGATCTCCTCCGGTTGCTCGTTCCACCAGAGCGGAACCACCACCGAGAAAGCCCTGGCCCTAGTTGTAGCTAGCCTGGCATGCTTTGG